CAATATACTGAATAATCGTAATTGAATTCAATATATATTAAAAAAATCGAACATTTGCTGAAGGTATACATCTTTAGACAAAACCTACTGATATTTGTTCTAATTTTAATCTGGAATTTATCTAAAAGTACATATCCAATTTTTATATATTTTTTTAATATTCCTTCAAATGTTTTCTTTTAAAATATCTATTTTTTATTTTTTATCTTTTAAATACGTATTTTTTAATCAATTAAAAGAACAAATTGACCTCCATTTCCGTCGTTCTCTTTTACAGGGGAATATGGGAGCATTTATTTGTTTGTATTGAATGTTAATGCGTTATGAAGAGAATAAGTTATTGCTGAGGGATATTGTGGGAGTGTGAGAGTTCATTCAATGAGAATCTAATTGGAGTCAATTTCTCAAAGAGAAAAGGGTCAACTGTAAATGGAATTGAATTGTTGTTGTTTTTTTTTTTTTCTAAGGCAATGAAGTACTTTTTAATAGATTTGATTGATGTGGTAGAGATTTACAAAACAAATCTCTGCACTATTTATGTTCAAGAGGGAGAAGGGGAAAAAGAGTAATAAAGCAGAAATGTAAACAAGAACAATGCTAATGGTCTCCGCTCCCATTAGAATAGATGCCTTTGACAAAGAACTGAATTGCGTTTTTTAATTGTTTTTTTTTTTTTTTTTTTTTTTTTTTTTTTGCTGTAAATGTTTTGAAATGAAAAAATAAAACTATAAAATTCAAAAATTGCCTAAAATGTCGTACAATTTGAAATGAAGAGTATGATTTTTTTTGAAAGCAAATCAAATCAATAAATAAACATAAAAATTGAAAATCATTAAATAATCTTCAAATTTTTTTCAAATAAAAATTGGGATTTTTTTTCTGAAATTTTTGAAAAAATAATACTTTTAAAATGGCACCACAATTGAGGTAAATTTATTTGTGCCAATTTTCGTGACAATCAACTTCCCTTCAGTCAGAATAATATTTTCAAACTTCAACTAATTTCATTGTTTTTTTTTATTTTTTTTCTTGCCACGAATTAATTCATGACATTTTCATCATGAAATGCTTATTTCCCCCATTCACCTATTCCATGTTTTATCTATCTATTCGAGTATAGACGTGCAATATCTCGACATTATTAATCTATCAAACGTAGAAAATGTGAAGTGAAGCCATAGATTGATAAGAAATTAATTGGCAATTATAAAATATTTTCTTATTATAATAGGCAGAGCTACTACGTAGTTAATAAGGCAATATTAGAGAAAAAATGTCAAAATAAGTATGTGAATAATACTTGGCAAGAAAAAAAAAACAATAACAAAAATAGGCTATAAAAAAACTTATGACAAATTTTGTTTTAAGGTGAAATGAAATACAAATTGAAGACATTTTTCGTAGGAAATAGTTGGTCATTTGAAAATTCTAAGGAATTTCCTGGGAAAATAAATATTTTATTTAAGGGAATATTTATGTTGTTGTAATAAATATATTATATTTATTTATTATTATTTCTATTTACTTATATATTTTTATTTATTTATTTTTATGCAATGCAATATTTACCACAGACGATGATAGTGAAATTCTATCGTAGGTTTAAGTAAACTTGACACTTTTATAGATGTTTTACATATCTCCCTGAAGATGCAATGTAACCCATTGCGAAATATCGGATTTTAATAAAGGAAAAAACCCAGACCTAAAGCTCAAAGAAATATTTATTTATTGAAATTTTTATTTTGAATTTTATTTTTTTATTTTTTATATTTCTTTATTTTGGTAAATTTCTGGGAAAATTTCTCTCTTTTTTATTGAATTAATATTTTTTTAAAGAGATGTAATTCCTATTTTCAAAAAAAAAAAAAATATCGATTCAATAAAAAAGAGAGAAATTTTCCCAGATATTTACCAAAATAAAGAAATATAAAAATTTCAAAAATTTCAAAATATTGCGACAATTTATCTCAAAAAAAAAAAAAATAAATAAATAAAATAAATAAAAAAATAATAAATATAAAAATAAATAAATAAAAATTATAATTATTAATAAAAAAAAATTTATAATTAAAATAATGTATATAATTTTCCTTTAAAAATTTTTATGATATTTTCCATTTATTTCATTTTCAAAAAATTTCCATTAAATTTTTTACATGTTCATCAACTTTAAAAATACATATTCCATTTAAATTACATCATGCCCCTTATTAACATTCTTTTCCAAGTTGCCTCACAGCGCAAGAAATTTTAACATGTGTATTTCCCCTCCTTAAAAAAATGCCATTCAAAATTTTGCCATTGATGGCCATGTAAGTTCACTATCCACATAAAAAATTAATTGTAAAAAATAAAACAGAAACAACAGTTGTTTTCCAAACATCATTGAATGTACAATAATGTTCCGCCGCCATTAAATGGCCCCTAGATCACGTTGTGTTTATTTATTTTATTTTCGACTGCTCCCCTTTTTATTTTCCAAAACAATGTTCTTCATTTGAAATTGTACCATATGTTCCATTTTCAGCAAATGTTTTTTTTATAGATTTTATTTTTAACATTTCAAGCCATAAACAGCACCAGAACGATTTGAAAATACACGCAATTTAGTTCGTTTCTTGACAAAAGGTCTCCCCTCATTGAGTGGGCAAAGTTCTTGTTTAGAATGCTTTATTACTCCCACTCTCCACCCTTAATGCCTTTATTATGCAGAGATTTGTTTTCTGTAATGCTCTGCCCTTTCAGAGTCCATTATAAAAAACTCTTTATTTCATTATTAACAAGAACATGCAGTTCAATTTGATTTGTTTGTGACCTCTTTTCTCTTTAAAATGCGACCCCAATTAGAAGATCATTGAAATAACATTCATACTCTCCCATCCATTTCTCCTTTGTTGCCTTGACAGTGCAGACCTCTTTATGTCTTACATATACTCCTCCTATTGTAAGGGGAAGAGAGAGAGACAGAGATCATTCACTTAACGGCTTAATCATTTAAATTTCAGTGAATGTGACTGTAACACGGGTTTTGCTCCCATAACGGTGTCCATCCGTTAAACATGCTCAGTATTCTCTTTTTCAGATCTCTTTTGTCCTTATAAAAGAGTATAGGAGAAAAACGATTTTAAATGTATAAAAAAATAAAAAAAATAATTAAAAATATAAAAAATTATAAAAAATAAATATATAAAAAATAGAAAAATTCAAAATTTTCAAAATAAAAATAAGTGTTTTAGATTTCAAAAAATTTCCTTGTGAACAAAGTATAAAAAACAAAACAAAAATTAAAAATCATCCATATATAAAGAAAACCTATTAAATTAAATAAAAAGGGATTTTCATAAATTTGGAAAAAAAAATTGTTTCACAAAAATTTCCTGCGTAAGTTTTTTTATTTTAAAAAATCCAAAAAAATTTTAATATTTTTAATTTTTTTCTCTTAAGATTAATAATTTTTTTTAGATAATTAATTTTTAGGTTAAAAAAGTAAAAAAAAATAATCAAGATTTTTAAAAGATATTATTTTTAAATTAGTGAAAATCCATTTTTAAATTTCAAAAAATAAAATAAATATACAAAAATAATAATATCACGAATTTATTAAAATTATTTAAAAATTAAAAGTCATCCAGATTTAGAGAAAACCTATTATAACCTATTTAAAGAAAATCTATAATATTTACTACTTTAAAAAAAATATATTAAAATTATTTTAAAAAATTCTATCAATTCATTTTTTTAGATTAAAAAAATCAACAAAAAATGCTAACCAAGAATTTCAAAAATGCAAAAAAAAAAATTAGAAAAACTTGTAATTTTTTAAAAATCTTACAAATTAAAAAAATAATTCGGAATTCTTAAAATTTGATCAACAACTCTCAAAAAATTAAAAATCATCCAGATTTAAGGTAAATCTAATAAATTGAAAAAATTATCAAAATTTTCAGTTTTAAATACTTTTGATACTTCAAAAAATCAATTATTTTTAATTTTTTCTGTAATAAAATTATTATGAAAAAAAATCAACAAAAAATATTAATCCAGTTTTTTAAAAATATTCTTCTTAATATTTAAAAATATGTAGACTTTTAAATAGTCTATGTATTTTTTTTTTTCAAAAAAAATTATATTTTTTTTTTTAAAAAATATTATTAAAAATATGTAGACTTTTAAAAAGCAAATGAGTTTTTTTTTCAAACCATTTAACATTTTTTCCATAAAATTACATTATAAAATTTTATATATTTTTTAATTTCCAAATTTACAACAGTTGTTATTTATTTAAATCAGGCTTTTTTAATATTTTTTTATTAAAAAAATCAAGTTTATCTGGGTACACAAAATTTCTTGTTACCCTGTGTTATTTATCATATCGAGTATCTAATTTCAACTTCCACTCGATGTGTGAGTAATTTATTAATTCCACACTACAGCCAAGTTCTTAGCGTCACGATATCGCTGAAATCAAATGGTAATTTTAGATAGCTTACTTTTGTTTATTTTTCTTTACTTCTTATCAAGAAAAGTTGAAATTGTATTCATTTGAATTTTCATTTGAAATTCTTTGGATTTTTTTCAAAAATTCTTTGAAGTTTTGGTATGTTTTTAATTATTCCTACTTTTATTTATTTTTGTTTATAAGCAATTTATTTTTATTTATTTAATTCTTTTGCTATTTATTTATTTTTACTTTATTTATTTTCAATTTTTTTGTACCATATTATTTGAGGTTTCTTCTTCAAGAAATTCATAGAAAATGTTGCAAATGTCCATTATTATTTTTTTTTTTGCGCATATTTTCTAAACTTTCATTTTCTTTTTTTACTGCCATTAAATTCAATAAATCACTTTAAAAACAACACCATTTGAAAGAAACCATCATCAACACACCATCCACACATATGACAATTTATCATTCACTCATTAATTTATTCTTTTGCCCATTTGCAACATCATTATCATCACAATAATAATGGTCATAATTTTTGTTGACATACCACCCCATTCACTTTTCACCAGGCGACGACGACGACAACAACGACGGTGACGAGCGACGACGACTTTCTTTTGTATGTACGAGAAACCGTTGCCGTTTTCCCCACAAAAAAATATAAATCCAAACAGATGTGAAATGTTTGCAAGATCAAGTGTCCAACATATTTCCATCTAAGAGAAATGACAACATGTGGAATTGTCCCCAAAAATACTTGTCATTATTTACTAAAGAACACTTCATTTTAGGCAAACGAAACGAAATGGAAACGAAACATAAAATGTAAACACAGAAGGAAAACACAACCGTAAGCGACGCGGCATCCAAAAAACGGGCTCTATTATTTTATTTCATTTGATTTGCTTTTATGGTTGTATATGGTGCAATTGTTATTGTTGTTGCTACACTTCTATTGCACTTCGGTAGCCAAGAGACCGGTAACCGGAGACAAAAACTTCGCGTCGTATTGTTGTTAACTCGTCAAACGTTAAAAAGCATCTAAATCAGCCATAGCAGCCATTTAACGAACCAACCATTCATAGACGCCGCCGTCGTCGTCAAGGCAACGACGCAGACAGCACCATAACACCAAGAACAGTGGCGGCGACGGCAGCAGCAGCAATAGCAACACCAGCATTGTGGCAATAATAATAATAACAATAATAAACCCAATCTCGGCATCAAACACACAAACACGAAGTCGGCAACATCGGCACGAGTAACGAGAAATGTAAAAAAAAAAAAAAGAAAAACAAGTACCGCTCCAACATCACAGAGCAGCCGAATGTACGAAGAAGAAAAAACATGAGAGTGAGTATTGCATATAACTGTGGTGGGGCAATATAAAGAGTACATTGTTGATGGTGTTGTTGTACACACCGTGCAATGCATAGCAATACCATTGCAAGTATGGGGTAAAGTATGCTGAGTAGAGTACTGTTTCTTATTTTAAATGGCTAAAGGGGGAGAATAAACACCCAGCAATTTATATCAAAGAAGAAAATTCGAGAGCAAGAGAGAGAGCACACAAAAACAGCGAGTGCATTTCATTACATTGCCTTGCATTGTATTTATTTTTATTAGAAAAAAGGCAACCATCTAACAACAACAAAACCCCATTGGGAGAGAGAGCAAAATTTGTCTTGTGAATGAAATAAGACTCTTTTTTTATTATTTGGCCAAATAAAAACCGGCTTATTTTTTGCCATCGTTAGGTATTTGCTCTGTCGACGTCTCTGTCATTTGCTGGCTTTGTAAATATGGCAAAATTTTTTTTTTTTGTTTTTTTTGGTGTTAATTAGTTGTACGGTAAATATTTAATTGTTTATTTAACTAGATATTCAAAGCAAATAGATAAACAATTTAATTTCTTAGGGATCGGCTACCGTGAGAGTAGGTAAAAATAAAATATATGACACAAAATATATAAAAATATATGAAACAAAAAATGAAATAAACAACCAATTTTTTTAATACTTATTTTGATAAGATTTTCATAATTTCATATTTAGAAATATCCATTAAATAATTTTGGTTTTTAGTTCTGAGTGTTATCTTTCATTCGAAGTAAAAATGAGGAAAATATATTGAGAATTACGGAAGTTACATGTAAAATTCCGAAGAGCGTCAATAATTAATGGTAATCATACGTCAAGGTGTTCCATACAGATTTGCCGAAAATTCTATGTTTGCAACAGAATAATTGATATTTCAATGGGGAATCCTATTGACAATGAATCGAACATCTTATTAAAAGCTAAAATCAGTGCATAATTGAAAAGTAAAAAACTTGGAAACAAAAAATGTTAGCAAAATTTTTTTGGGAAAATATTTTTCCCATTCTTAAAGAAATTTCCACCACTTTAATTTGGCAAAATCCATTTTTTGATAATTTTGGTTTTTGACTAGGAATGTTTTCTTTCAATTTAAACTAAAGTGAGCGTAATTCGCCCACAAATATAGAAGTTATACCCAAATTACTGAAAAAAGTCAGCTATTAATAATAGTCATACGCCCAGGTGGTCTTACGGAAGTAAAATTGAATATTTTTGCATTGAAAGCAAAAACTTTAATTTTTTCTTTCGAATATGACGTGGAATATTTCCTGCTTCCTTATAAAAAATATAAGGAATACAAATTGTTGTAAAAATATTAATGCAAAAAATTATTTAAAAAAATCCCCTTTTATTTTTCACATTTTCAAAGAAATTTCCAGCATTAAATATTGCAGTACCCAATTTTCATAATTTTGGTTTTTAACTAGGAATGTTTTCTTCCAATTAAAATCAAAGCTAGCCTGATTCCTCTACAAATATGGAAGTTATGCCCAATTTACTGAAAATAGTCAGCTAATAATAAAAGTCATACGCCCAGGTGGTCTCACAAAAAAAATTGAATATTTTAATATTGAAAGTGGATAACTAAATGTTTTTCTTTTGAGTATGACGTAGAATATCCACTGTTATTTTTATAAAAAAATTAAGAAACAGAAATTGTTGTAAAAATTATTTATGCAAAAAACAATTAAAAAAAACATTTATTTTCGGCACTAAAATGTTGCAATGCCCAATTTTAAATAGTTTTGGTTTTTAACTACAAATGTTTTCTCTTAATAAAAATCAAAACTAGTGCGATTCTCCCACAGATATGGACATTATGCCTAAATTACTGAAAATAGTCAGATATTAATAATAGTCATACGCCCAGGTGGTCTCAAAGAAAGAAACTTCATAATTTAAACGTTGGAAGCAAAAACCAAAATGTTTTTCTTTCAAATATGACGCAAAATATTCCCTTCTACCTTAGAAAAATAGAAGAAAGAAAATTTCGTAGCAATAAGAAAGAAAAATATACAAAAATACAACAGCCATCCATTTTGTTACATTTTCATTGTAGAAACTATGCTACCTTCCTTGTGTGCAATACCCCAGCAAGCCATTCAAAAAGCTGTTTACCTTGTTGAAAGATTATTTTTTGTGTTTTATTTTACTTTGTAACAAGTTGGTAACTTTATCATCTTCGAAAAAGCAAGACAACAACAAAAACTAATAATAAAGACACGACAAGAAAATTGTATGGCTGGAAAAATCTGATTTTCCAAATACAACCAGCCACGACAACATCGTGTTATTTTTGGAATTCCAGGTGGCGTAAAACGTAAATCCAAAGCACAAACGAAAAAAACTGAACTGAACTGAACAACTTTGTCAACTCCAAGCCAATGGAATTGAAGCCAATGTTTGTATTACCACTTTGAGCCATGATAGCCAAATGAACAATGTTGTTAACCAAGTGTTAAACACAACGAGTTTTGGGTTTCATATTTTTTTTCCTATTTTGGCCACAAGAGTGGGAAGAGAGTGAAGAGAAGAGAGAAAAAATATTGAAATAGATAATAATATGGCCCGGTCTGGTCTGGACAAGCAAAAAGCAAAGCAAAGGTGGAAACCTTCTCAAGGCAGTGTGGCCATAAAAAAGTGGCTGTTTTTTTTTCTAACCAGAAAATAATAAAAAATATTGTTATTATTGTATGTATTGTCATGGTAACACAGACTAGCCTGTTAGCCATGTTAACAACAACATATGCGAAACATGAAATGACCATAAAATCAACGAAATGCAGCCCCAGACAACTGGCAAGAAAAACTAAGAAGCAATGTCGTCTGTTTGGCTGATTTCTTAACTTTTTTTGTTGGTTTCAGCGATTTCATTTTCTACCTTCTGGCGACCGCATGCCCTAAGAACAAATGAACAAATTTTTTACCAAAAGAAATAAATAACAATAATAAAAAACAATTGGCCAATAGTTAATGGCTTAATTGGTAAACGAATGTTATGCAAAAAATACAAGGTTTGTACTTACGCTTACGATAAAACTTAAGTTTGCAATAAACATTTTGTTTAATTTGATAACAGTTGGGCGATAAGAAGCTTACCTAATAGAAAAAAAAAGAGGAAATTAAAATTAGCAGAGTATTAGATAATGAAATGTTAGCGAAAAAGTAAAAAAAATAGCAAATGTGAAAATATTAAAAAATTGGATATTGAAAATTAAAAAAAAAAATATTTTTCGTATCTCTAGCTCTCTGTTTGGTCCTTAAACATTTTCAAATTTTCCCAAATAGATTTGGATTTTAGCTAAAGGTCTCAGCTTTCATTTGCGACAACAAAATTAAAAATCCTTGCAGAACTTTAGGAGCTATGGGGAAAATACAAAATTAACCCATGTATTATCAACACTCATACGCCAGGGTATCCAAGATTTAAAAATTCATTTTCTCAGTAGTTTATGGACATATTTGTATAAAATTTACGAATTCCGTTTAGTATTGGATTAAAAACAAACAAACCAAGAGATCTGTGATAAATCTTTTCAAACCGGCAGTTAGAGGAACATTTATCATTGACAAATTGTCTTGAGAACTTTGTAAGAAAAGCAATATATATTTTTTTAATTCTTCAAATCAAAACAAAGTGAAACTTCAAAGCCTTAGTATCTAAAAGCTTTGAATAGACATAAAATAGTTTGGAGCAAGCCTCATTTGAAAGAAATAGGTTTTCATGAAGTTTTTTAGCAACTAGGTTTTAAGTGGCGTTTTTTCGAGATAGGGATTTCGAACAGTTCCATTCTTGAAAAAAAATTCCCAAAAATGCCCCTACTATATTTTTTTATTAAATTATCGAAGGGCTTCAATTCTAGAGGAAATTGTTTTGAAACAAACTTTACCCTCAAGTAAATATAACAAAATTATATCAGGAAAAATTTACGATTTTTTTAAATATGTGCAATGTTTATTTTTAACTAGAGATCCTTGAAATGTTCTCACCTCTCCAAATTATTTTTTTATTTTCAGATAACACAGTCATCTTTTAGTTAAGCCGATAAAATTTAAAATGTATAGTGTTCGGGAAGAATAAATCGGCCAAAAACACAAAACTATTTTTAATAATGGGGAATTTTTAATTTTTTCTTGAATTCCCTGTAATTTTTTGATTCTCAAAATTATCAAAATGTCTCCATATAATTTCGATTTTTAGCTGAAAATGTCTGCTTTTATTTGCCACTAAAGATCTTAAAATCATGTAAGAATTATGGAAGTTATGGGCTAAATACTAGAGTTGCCCACATATTAAAAACACTCATACGCCCTTAGGTCCAAAAATTAAAAATTCATCTTCTCTGAAACTATGCAACTTTTTTTTCCAAATTTTTACAGATTTCGTTTGCTAATGGTTTTAAGATAATTGTAGTTTTCGAAGGGCTCTTATATATTCGTTTGTATGCATCAAAATTTAATGTTTTAAGATTCGAATTAATTTTTAAGATTCTCAAGAATTTTAGAGTCAAAAAAAATATAACAAAGCTTATATTTTTCCCCTTCTACTTCACAAATATATAGCACTTGATTATGTGATATATTGATATTGCCGGTGATAATTTACTAAGGAAAAAAATCTTATCACCTCTAACGAAAATTTCCATTTAAAGA